CACACACACACAAATTAACACACTAGACTAGGTTACACACTTGCACTGATTTTGAGCATTAACACAAATTCATGGATTGTATAAAACAAACCTCCTATTAAAAAATTCAATGCTTATCACGACCTTAACATTGTTTGAATATGATTATGTTGAATCTTGGAAGTAAGCAATAAGATGATCACAAATTGACCCCTTAAGCAATATGCAATTATAATCGTAGAATCATGACGGATGCACACGGTTAGAACTTATTGAGCTTGTTTGCAAAATAACTACAATATTAAATGCATACCATGTACACAAGAATACAATTTCCTAACTTCCTCGACAAATTTTCATATAAACTGGAATGAAACATAAAAGAATCTTCTCCAAGAATTTGAGTGTAATTTGTTGTAGGTTGATGGTTAGACACACATCGACAAGCCCGGCATTGATTCCATATATAAAAGAATATCTCAACCAACAAGTTAGTCTTATGAATGTAATTTGTTGTAGGTTGATGGTTAGTACACAATACGCTCTCACATGAAGAGCAAATGATCGAAAGGGACACCCTTCCATAAAATAGCATCAACAATATGCAAAATATGGTTACGGTAATAGGACACATGTTTCACAAGGTTTTTCTCAAAAAACACAACATCATGCCGATAGGAGATACACATACATGTGCACGGTTTCCACTCTTGAAATAGGCTTTCGCCCCGCTTTATATATAAAGCATCAACCACACAAAGTACACGGCCGAACGATACAAGATAGTGAGGTAACCCTCTTACGAAGCCGATCCCAGGATAATCGGAAAATGGATACCACAAGAGACTACGACACCGAAAGGCAATATAGGAAGACCTGGAAACACCGCCACACTACACTGTAGTACACCTAAGCTACTCAGGATTCCACCATCACACATGAACATCAAAATCGAAAGGATTTTTCCATTTGTTTCCCTGGTTGGTATCCACTACTCAGGATTCGCCCCTAATTTATGGTCCTACTCAGTTTTATCTCTGTTCCATCTGATGCAACTATGGTAATACCCTCCATGTTTTTTTCTTCCAGCCAAAGCCCTTTGACCATCTGCAAGACAAAATATGATGCTTTCGCCCTCTCTGTATATGTCACTTAAGAGGGGAAACCACCCATGAAAAAAAAGGAAAAAACTATCTCTCACCCCCTCTCTATCATTTACACATGGGACCCAACCAAAAAAAAACTTTTTTTCTCTCCTCCCTCTTTATATCTCTCTCGCCTTTGATGAATCCATGCCACGACCCCGCAAGGGGCTCCCAGCTCGAACCTGCCCCACTGCGCTAGCTCCTCATACACTGTTGTGACCCCTGGGATCCATTGCACCGAAGTGACCAGCGTCGTCGCCCCTCTCCCTAAGAGCATCTCCAATAGGTGCCCAACGCGGCGCGCGCAAAAAACAGTTGTAGCGCGCGCCCATCATCTGGTTTGGCGCGGCGCGCTGCGCCCGCTCCAGCAGCCGCGCTAAAATGCAGCGCGCGCGCCGCTCCAGCAGCGCGCACATAATTTTTTTTAATTTTCGAACGCATAGATAAAATAAAAACTAGATAGATTGCATAAATAAAAAACGATACAAAGGTATTTTACATCGGTGCAACTAGATAGATAGTTCGAAAGCATAGATAAACTACGGCGCAACTAGATAGAAACTACTCTAAGTCGCTATCATCATCACCATTATCATCCTCGGCGGTGTCGTCCGAGGTGTCTAGCCAGATGTCCAGCCACCGATCATCGTTCGGCGCGAAAAACGACTGCCCACCTGCTGCAACGATGTCGGACTGCGCATTCGCCAACGCCTTCGCTGACGCCTTTCCAACGCGTCTCGCGGCGCCTTCGCGTGTCCTCCTCGCTGCGCCTTGCCCAGTAGGCCTGCTCGTAGGCGACGTCCTCCGGGTGGCGCTGACGCCACTCCGCCATGACCCGCTCGTCCTCCTGGGCGACGAGGAGGCGGCGTTGCCGCTCGGCGTGCTTCGCACGGTCTTCCGCCGTGTTCAGACGAGGCAGAGGGACGAGGTTGATCGCTTGCTGGAGCGTGTACACATCTTGAAATTTCATCTGGCCGCGCGGCCGGCCTAAGCGCCACGCCGCCGCGTCGTACGCGCGGGCGGCCTCGCGCGCCGTCCCGTACATGCCAAGGCCGAGCCAGAGTTCGTCGGAGCGTATCTTCGCGGTGTAGCAGCCGTTGCGGTGCAGGCGGATGCCGCGGTAGCCGGACGCTCCTCGGCGGCGCGACGGCATGGCGGCGCGTCGGTGGCGGGGCGCTGGAGCGGCGCGTGGCAGAGAGGGAGAGGAAGAGGGGAAGAGGAAGTGTGGAGAAGCGCGTGGTGAAGCGGCGCGCAACTTTATAGACGCGCGCGAAGCGGCGCGCCAAATCTTGCGTGCGAGCTGGCGCCTTTTCGCGCGCGCGCGCAAACGGTTCCGGCGCTTTAAATATGTACTTTGAGACTTTAAATTACTTTTTAGTTTTAGACTTGAAATATATAGTTTTGAGCCTTCAATTATGTTTGACACTTCAAAAAAAATTCCTTTTTGGTTTTTTATGTACCGGTGATCTTTTTTTATAGTATACTCCCTCCGTTCCTAAATATTTATCTTTTTGGATATTTCAAATGGACTACCACATACGGATGTATATAGACATATTTTAGAGTGTAGATTCACTCATTTTGCTCCGTATGTAGTCAATTGTTGAAATCTCTAGAAACACAAATATTTAGAAACGGAGGGAGTATTATAGTTTATTTTTATTAATTTTCTATTATTTTAAAATGGAAATAATGACATTTTCTAAAATATGTACTTTGAGACTTTAAATTTACTTTTTTTCCTTTTTAGTTTAAGACTTGAAATATATAGTTTTGAGCCTTCAAATATGTGGGTTGACACTTCCAATTTTTTTTCTTTTTAGTTTTTTATGTTTTGATCCTTTTATAGTATATTATTGTTTAATTTATTAAATTTTATTATTTTTAAATGGAAATAATGCCATTTCTTAGGTGGTGACCTTTTTTCTTATTGGGCTAGTCCAAATAGGATTAGGATGCCGTGGGGGTCAAAACCAACGGGGGCAATGGCCCCCTCGACCCACTCCCTCTCTCTGCCCTGTGCTGGTCTGTTTTGTTCCCCTTTCTCCTCCTCTCTCTCACCGCTCGTCGCCGCCGCTTTGATTCTGGCGATTGCCGTCGTTCTCCGGTCCTGAGGTACACATCTAAGCCTCCCACTCTCATCTGTCCATTTGGATTTTTTAATTAGAGGTGTGTTTCACATTCCCTATGCTAGGGTTTCGACGATGGTGGCAGGCGACGGCGACGGCAGTAGGCGACCCTCAGCTCCAACCCAGGGGAGAATATCATCCCTCCCTCTTTTGCTGTAGGTCACTGCCACTATCAATTTTTTTTATTTGCATCACTGGGGTTCATCACTGCTAGGCAATGACAATTTGTTGTAGTTTTCTAGAATTAAGGTACATATATTTTTCAATCTTCGATTTAATTCAAATAGATGAGTGTCCAATGTGGCAATATGTGGCAAATATAGTGTCTAAAAGAAAATTTCCACTCGAAAGTAATGCTCCAAGTTAGGTGTTGCAAAATAGTTGAGTGTCCAAAGAAAACTTCCACTCAAAAGTAATGCTCCAAGTTAGGTGTGGCAAAATAGTGTGACAAATATAGTCAAAATCCAAACAAGGCCTTAGGGGTTGTTTGGTTCCAAGCCACAACTTGCCACACTTTGTCACGACTCAACTTAGGCAATTTTGACCAAGTTGGGTGTGTTTTTGGTTCTTGCCCACATGTTATAGATACAAACCGGCATATGTATACTACACTTCATCCATATAATTGTGTGAAGATATCGATAGTGCTATATTGTTGTTGTCCAAAGCTAGTTATGCACATGCTATGATATA